GTAAGGAAGGACCGGTCCTTGGAGAAGGACATCATGCTTGGGAGGGTGGAGGGACAGCACAGGAGGGGAAGGCCCTCTACGAGGTGGATTGATTCAGTGACTGGGCCAGTTGGGTTGGGTATGTCGGAGACAATGCGATTGGCACAGGACAGAGCAGAGTTTAAGGCTGTTACAACAGCAACTTTCCCAAGAAGGGTGATCCAGCTGAAAGTGGAAATTATCAAACAATATCATTGATATCACATGTTAGCAAAATACTGCTGAAGATCATTAAAAATGGCTAGAACAGTACATAGATATGTAATCGCCAGAAGTTCAAGCAGGATTTAGAACAGGCCATGGCATCAGGGATATCATTGCTGATGTCAGATGAATCCTGGCTGAAAGTAAGGAAAACCAGAAGAATGTCTATTTGTGCTTTATTGACTATGCAGAGGTGTTTGACTGTGTGGATCATGACAAGGTGTGGCTGACATTGAGAAGAATTGGAATCCCAGGCCACTTGATTGTGCTCATAAGGAACCTATGCCTGGACCAGGAGGCTGTTTTGCGAATGAAAGGGAACACTGCATGGTTTGGAATTTGGAAGGGAGTACATCAGGGATGTATTCTGTCTATACCTCTGCAGTGTATGTGCTGAGCAAATTATCCTAAGAAACTGGACTCTTTGAAAAGGAGTGTTGGCATCAGGGTTAGAGGGAGACTCATCAATAACCTGAGTTATACAGATGACACAACTGTGCTTGCTGAAAGTGAGGAGGACTTGAAGCACTTGATGCAGAAGATCAAGGAATGTAGCCTTCAGTATGGATTGAGTCTCAATGTCAAGAAACAAAAAGATTCTGTTGCATAAAGATCTGTTAAACCATTGTGTAATTCAGGTATAGTGTGAATTAATTGCCATATAAATTGTGTATTCTCTTTTCAGGTACTACATAGGAAATCATCACAACTTATTGATTTGTTCTATTGTTTACCTTTAAATCATCTTTTAAGTCATTTCTCAGTTTGATTATAAAAATTTCTCAATTTGTCCTGTATTAGAAAGCAAGATCCCACTGAAGCTGAGTAACTAGGGTAAAGAATCTTGTCATATAAACTAGAACTACGAAGATGACATTCCTCACAGCTTCTCTTTCCTGCTACTGTTCGATATTTATAACTAAACAAAGAAGTTGGAAGAAATGTCAGGTTGCACAGTTGAGAGCTAGGGAACTACTGGAAATACTAATAGGAAGTTTAGAGCTGCTTGTTTCACTGAAAAATATTTGCCCCTCAAGAATGTGGGAGTTCCTATCTGTTTAGGGTATTGTCATTTACTATTTTTGTGCCATTTACTTTTTATGTTCTGCTCTATACTATGGCTCAGTTTCAGATAAGAGCTCATATCTTGCCATTGTATCTTCTTTGTTCATACAAAGAAGAGAAAAAAAACCCTTAATGTGTTGATTCTGATTCATAGTGATTGTACTGGACAGAATAGAATTGTCTCGTAAATTTTCCAAGACTTTAAATAATTACTTAAGAAAGCAGACTGCCTCACCTTTTGCCCAGAGAATGATTGCAACTTTGAGTTAGCAAGGAAGCACATTCACTTGTGTGCCATCAAATCTGCTTTAGTTTTTACTATTTAATGTCTGTCTTAGAGTAGAATGATGAATAGAGACAAGAGACAAAGAGAAGATTAACACTAAACAGTACTTTCAGCATCCAGAAAGAAGAAAATTAGATTTATGCATAAGAATGGTAACTGATTTTTGGTGAACTAGATCTTTTGTAAGAGATAGATAATATTAAACAACAGAAAAATGTATAATTACAGCAGAACAGATTTTCTAGTACTAAAAGTTATGATTCCCTATTTAAAAAAACAAACCAATAGGCCAAAAACCTGGTAGACTATAAGGAAGGGTAGAAAGAAAGGAGTCAGAGACCATTGAGAGTTGAATTAGTAACTGATTTTCATATCCTGAGGCTAGAGCAAAGATATCAGAACTATTAGGAAAAATATATGAACTCTAATACAAATATGATTTTCTGACTCCAACTCCTTGCACATTTCATTGTAATATTTTG